ATGGAGCCAACTGTGCTACCCATTGAAACTGGACTGGACCAAAAAAATATGGCACACATACATGATGGAATATTACACAGACACAAAGAATGAAAAATATATGGACTTTGGATGCATGGATTTAGAGTCTATTTTACTCAGTGAGCTATTACAGAAACAAAGAACAGAGTACCATATATTCTCACTAATAAGTGGACCCTGAACATTTACCATAATACTATAAGAAAGGGAGTGACAGTAGCAGGAGACTGCTGGGGTGGGTGTGGGGACACAACATCAATAAGTGTACCTGGTCTCAAACCAGGCAAAGTGGCGACCAAAAGGAGGTCCAAACTTTACCTGTGCAATGTTCACTTGTATGCCTAATCCTGAATTGTACCTCACATCGTTAAAATAAAATATATAAAAGAAGAAAAAAATTGCTCACATTATAAAGATTAAAATTGCTCCAAAATCTTACTGTTAAATGTGTCCTAACAATATATGATGGGATGTAAGAAAAATAAAAATAATATATACCCACACACAACAGAGTTATTAATAGGATGTCATCAAAAAATCTGAACACATAAAACCTATACTTCTGTACCTCCAAAATTAATCTATTTCTCCATTTCCCTAAAAGTTAAAAATTGATGAATGTTTTATATAATTTTCTTTCCATTTGTATTTAAAGTTTGGATAGGGTTTAAATTTTAAAAGTATATAACATTTACAGTTTTAGGAATTTTCACAATGTATGAATGGCATATATCATATCACGTCTTACCAACTATTTTTGTCTTTACAAAAGAGCTTAATTTGGAAGCTGCAGCTGTTTTAACAGCAGCATTGTATTTTATTTTATGACTATATTATACAATTTCACTCATTCATTTTTAAATTATTAAGAATTGCTTAGTTTCTATTTATTTTCTGTAGAATGGCTTCTACAATAAGGAGATCTCTGTGTACAGTTTTTTTCATTTGGTCTAGGGTATAAAAGTGAAGAATTACTGTTGTTAAATATATGCATCTTTAATTTCAGTATAATCAGTATAATTATTTCCAAGAGAATATTTACATTACAAACACTGTTTTATACTTTTATTATTATTTAGTTTTTTTAGATTAATGGGTTACTTGTGTAGGTTTAGTTCTGGGCTTTTATTGAATTTGTCACATATAACATTTCTGCCTTCATTCTGCACTAGATGGCACCTCAATTCTAGGTTTGCCTAAATTTTAGTGAGCAAATAGAGTGTTGTCCATCCTGTATGATGTCTGTCCCCTGGGAGAGATCATGGTAGTGTGTGAATAGGCTGACTAGGTGTTAGTACCTAGGGTGGTGCTGCTGAATAGCCACTCTGATTTGTTGTCTCCTTTGGCCAGGTTCAAAGCAGAGTTTCCAGTAGTCCTACCTCCTCCCTTTGTCTCTGGTTTTTCATGAATAGACATTTCTCAAAAGAGGACATATGAACAGCCAGCAGATACATGAAAAAATGCTCAGCCTCACTAATTATCAAGTAAATTCAAACTAAAACTACATTGAGATATTGAGATACCATCTAACTCCAGTCAGGATAGCCATTATTAACTCAACCCCTTCAAAAAAACAAAAAAACAGATGCTGGAGAGGATGCAGAGAAAAAGGAACACTTCTATGTTGTTGGTGGGAATGTAAATTAATATAATCTCCCTGGAACACAGTGTGGCAATTTCTAAAAGATCAAAAATCTACCTTCTGTATGATCCAGCAATCCCCATTCTGAAATATTCCCAAAGGATCTCAAATCATTCTACAAAAACAGGAACCAAAAACCTGCTCATGCATGTTTACTGCAGCACTATTCACAATAGCAAAAACACGAAACCATCCGTGCTGCCCATTGAAAGTGAACTCGATTAAGAAAATGTGGTACATATGCATGATGGAACCTTATGCAGTCATAAAGGAGGACAAAATTATGGACTTCACAGAAACTTGTATAGATTTAGAGTCTATCATACTCGGTGATCTATCACAGAAACAAAGATCTGAGTACCACATGTTCTGACTCATAAACAGATCTTGAACATTTATCATAATACTGCATGAAAGGGATTGGCAGTAGTGGGACACTACCAGGGAGGGAGGGGGAGTACAAGACACCAATAAGGGTAACTGATCCCAAACCAGGCAAAGTGGGGAAACCAAAGGGAGGTCCAAATTTCACCTGCATGATGACCACTTATGTACCTAATCCTGAATTGCCCCCCACATCTTTAAAATAAAAAATTTTTTAAAAATAGGAAACTTAGAAGAAATGAATGAATCCTTGAACAAATATAACCCAACAATAGTGAGCCAATAAAGAAATAGAACTCTGGGGGTGGATCAAGTTGTCCAACCAGCAGCAACTGGTGTGCAACTCTCCCACAGAGAGGAACCAAAATAGAAAGCAAGTTGCTACACTCAAAGCAGGAGGTGGAGGAATTTACCTCCAGGATAGGACAGGGAAGAGACAGGCACGACAGAAGGCAGATGGGTGTATCCAGACAGCTTGCTTAGAGGGACCGGGTTCCAGAGGCAAGAGGGAGCTTCCCAACATGGACAAGTGCTGAGTGACAGAACAAGAAAAACTCACAGGCCCAACTCCCCTGCTGCAGTCAAGAGGAAACCTCTGTGACCCACTCACACTGAGATAACACCCAAGTCTCTCAGGCCCCCAAGACCTGTGCGATCAGAGCCAGTTACAGACCCTAGGTCCCTCTGCTGAAGGACAGGCCCTTCCCCACTTCTTCTTTGGGTACTCCCAGACTAGGGAAGGGAGCAACAAAACAGAGAAATTAAGTGCTTCCAGGGGATCAAGGATTCCAAGAAACAGGAGCAGTGAGGATAAAGAACACCCTTTGCCTTCTCCCATCATGACACATTGAAGTAGGTCTTGATCACAGGCTATGGGCCTAAAGATCTGCCACCCCCAGCCTTTTGAGAAGGCCAGTGACCAGCAGCTTAAAAACAGGCAATAAATTCCTGAGGAGGTTTCCCATCACTGGCCAGGTTGTATGTGCGCTGGAGGTAGCCCTTTCCAGTACATTCTGTGCTGCCTAAATAGGCATGAGTAAAGAGTGACCAGAGCGCCCAGTGGTCCCTGTTGTCCTGGCTTCACCCCACAATCATGGCACACTAGATCTGGGCATCAAAAGCTAGCATGTCCTTTGCATATAGCTTAAAGTGGCACAGTCTTTCTCATCATGGATGTGGCTGCTAGACTCACTAGGCAGGTCCTCTATTGCCATCTAAGATCGAGAGCCTGAATTACAACAATGAATGGGAAGGAGGCAGGGGAGAAGGTCTCAAAAGTGTTGAGGCCAGCAAAAAACAAACAAAGAAACAAACCAAAACCACTGGCAACACAAAAATCAGAGTGGCGTGTTGACCCCACACAATTGCAGCAGTCCACAAGTAGTGGATCAATTACAGAACAAAATGATCATGACGACAGGCATAGTATCCAGAATATGGATGGCAAAGAAACTCATCAAGATCCAAGAGAGTGGCCTCCCAAATCAGAGGAGCCACAAAAACAGTTCAAGAATTGAAAGCTGAAATGGACGATTTGAAAAAGAACCAAACTGAACTCTTGGAAATGAAGAACTTGTTTCAAGACTATCAAAACACAGCTTCAAGCCATAACAACAGGCTTGACCTGGCAGAGGAAAGAATTTCAAAAAGCTTGACCAATCCCTAGAAGTATCCAGGTAGACAAAAATAAAGAACATCAAAAAATGAACAAAGCCTCTGAGAGGTATGGGATTATGTAAAGAGACCAAATCTACATTTCATTGACATTCCTGAGAGAAAAGGAGAAAATGGGAGCACTCTGGAGACAAGAGCTGCAGACATAATTCATGAAAATTTCCCCCAGCTGGTAGAGGTGTAAACATGCAGATACAAGACATGTAAAAAAACCTCTGCAAGATACTATATGAGACGACCGTCCCTGAGGCACATTGTTTTTAGATTATCAAAGATTAGTATAAATGAAAAAGTACTGGGTGTACCAAAAAAGTATACACATTTTAAGAGATATTATTATGTATTACCGTTTGAAGTTGAATTGCTTTATAGTAGCAATGCTTAGTATGACATTCGCTCAAAAGATGGCATTATTCAAATGAATGTTAGCATTGTCATGTGACAGGCAGGACAGTAAAAGCAGTTCTCACTCAAAGCGAACCTTGAACAAGTATCATAATACTATAAGAAAAGGATTGACACTAGTGGGAAACTGTGGGGGTGGGAGGTGAGAAGGTGGGATTGACAGAAGTGGGAATCTGCCTGGAGAAGGGGGGGCACACCTCATCAACAAGGGTACCTGCACATCTTTAAAATAAAAAATTAAAAAAAAAAAAGAAAATAGCACAAGCACAGTTATCACTAGAGGAGCACTAGACCTGTTTTAAATTGTATTTGAAAATTGAGAACATTGTGGAGCTACAATGTCAATGAAGGCTTGAGTATGCAACAGAACCTCCAAAGTGTCTAACAATTGCATGCATCCTAAGTAAGTTTGAGCAAGAACAACAAAAAAATCCAAAGGCCTTACACCAAAACAAGTCCTGCAGTACTTTGCCATAATCAGAAGTTTCTGGATACTATTGGTCACCACTCTGAGCACTTCTTGCAATTGCAGAAGTCATATGTGACTTGTATTCATCTTTTGTTTTCAGTATACATTGAGTATTACAATTTTAATACAGTTTTTTCATTTCTTAAAATGTGTATGCTTTTTTGGGCACCCTCTGTATTAAAAGCAGCTAGAGAGAGGTCAGAACATCTACCAAGGGAGACCCATTAGAACAACAGCAGCCCTCTCAGGAGAAACTTTCCAAGCCAGAAAAGAGTAGGAGTCCATTTACGGTATTCTCAAATAAACAAAATGCCAGACATGAATCACCTTTCCTGGTGAAATTAAGTCCCTCTGAAACAAGTGAGCACTGAGGGAATTCATGGCCTTAAGACTGCCTGGGCAGCTTCTCTGCCAAAGGCTTGAGAGGCAGACTGGAGTGGCTAGATGGGCTCAGAGCAGAGCAGTGTCAGGATGGACGAGGATGTGCTGACAACCTTGAAGATTCTCATCATCGGCGAGAGTGGAGTGGGCAAGTCCAGCCTGCTCTTGAGGTTCACAGTTGATACTTTTGATCCAGAACTTGCAGCAACAATAGGTGTTGACTTTAAAGTGAAAACAATTTCCATGGATGGAAATAAGGTTAAACTTGCAATATGGAATACTGCTGGTCAAGAGAGACTTAGAACATTAACTCCCCGCTATTACAGAAGTGCACAGGGTGTTATATTACTTTATGATGTTACAAGAAGAGACACCTTTGTTATACTGAATAATTGGTTAAATGAATTGGAAACATACTGTGCAAGAAATGACATAGTTAATATGCTACTTGGAAATACAGTTGATAAGGAAAATCGTGAATTTGATAGAAATAAAGGCCTGAAATTTGCAAGAAAGCATTCCATGTTCTTTGTAGAGGCTAGTGCAAAAACCTGTGATGGTGTACAATGTGCCTTTGAAGAACTTGTTGAAAAGATCATTCAGACACCTGGACTGTGGGAAAGTGAGACCCAGAGTAAAGGAGTCAAACTGTCACACAGGGAAGAAGGCCATGGAGGAGCAGCCTGTGGCAGTTATTGATCTGTATTATAAACTCTGGGAAATTCCATGTTTTGCATATTTGATCAGATAGTGACATCTTTCTGTACATAAACTCCTTAACTGCTATTTTAGGGACCTTGCAGTTTGCACATGATAGTTTATCATGGCAGTAAATATTTGTAAGAAATCTCACTCATCAGTTTTCCCAGGTAAAATGTTATGGTAAGCATGAATAGTTTGCAGTCTTTGTGTATTGGATTGTTGTTTTGATTTGGTCTAATTTGAATACATATGAATCCCTTGAATATAACTTTTTAAAATTAATTTTGTTTGATAGATTTACATTGCAACCTTTTTATAGTTTTTGAATAAATTTAGCCTACCTTCCCTAAAAAATAAGACTGTCTGAATATCTTGCCAATATGTAGTATGATGAATACTATGCTCTGTATTTGAAGTTTGGTGAATGATCATGTTTGATATTAATAAATAAATATATTGTATTTTGATATGTCCATTGTTATGCAATCACAGTGTATTTTGAAACCCGATGCGTTAAATTCAGATTCTAAACATCATTAGGTATTATTTTCAGTTGAGCAGACCAGATAAAATTGAAAGAGAATGGAGGGTAGCATTGGTCCGGAGGATGTCTGCAGACTCACTCCATGACACATACTAGAACTTAAATCACAGAATAAGAATACTTGAAATGTCTCACATAGAGCTCAGTTGAGGTCTTGTGATATTATTGAGGAAGAATTTATAAAAAATGATTATAGTAGATGCTGTTATTATTCTAGCTAGATAATCTTTGGGAGGTGTGACTGGAATAAATCATGCCAACCTTCTGGAAGATGCTGATATTCTGTTGCTTGATCTGGGTGCTGGTTACATGGGGTTGTCTGCTGAAAGAATTCAAGGAGTTCTATAATTTTCTGTACTTTTGCTGTAATTTAAAAAGTAAACAAAAAAACCAAAATGTATATTTGGAGAATACCATACTTAATACAAATACTTGATTGAGTTTGTGATATCTTCATGAGAAAAATTCAAAATTGTATTGACCAACAAAACAAAGGCATAATGAAGAGGAGGGCAAATATATACAATATAACAAATATGTCAGAAAACACTAACAATGTGTTGTGACTTTATGCATAAATTTATGCAGACTTGGAGAGACACAAAACTGAATTTTATTATAGATGCAAAACCCCAAGCACTTGCTATTTTCTTAAGCAACACTAATCAAAATATCTTATTATATGTATGTATACTTTTTCTATAAAACAAATAAGTTATAGAATTTCTTTTGCACTTATGTTTTATCTGCATTGGTCACTGTTATTTGTCCAGCCCCTAAAATGTTACCTGGAATATGTTGATGTTGTCAATATGTATTTGTTGAATGATTACAAAACATTGCTTAGAGCAGAGAAGTTTAATAAAAATATAATGCATGTCCAAATGTAGTTTTAAGTATCTAGTAACTGCATTTAAAAAAAGAGCAAGAAGAAGGGGGTAAAATTTGGTTTAAATATATGCAATATATTGTTTCCCCAAAGTAGCATAACTTAAATATGTAATGGATGTAAAAATTATGAATATAATACTTATGTATCTTATTTCACAATGAGGCTATAAAATCTGGGCATTATTATTTAAACATATCTCAATTAAAATTAGACCCATTTCAAGTGCTGAATAACTATACAATTATTTTCTTCATATAAATCATTGTGGAGACTATCTTGTTGCAATAGAAAATGTGGGTTGTCATATCAATCATTGAATGCTCTTGGAGAAGTGAAAATTCTCATGTTAGAGGGGAAGCAATAAACTGGAAATTGTTTTTTTAAAATTATTTTTCAGTAGCACAAAAGGGCACAGTAGGGTAGCCTGATGAAAGAATATCAGAAATAATCTCCAGCCTTGGGTTTTTCTCAGGTCTGCAAAATAAATAGAGTCATGAAGTTGTTCAGGCAATAAAAGAACACAAAGCAGCTTACCAGCAGAAGGATACTGTGGGTGGCTTTGTTTTCGGGAGATGCCTGGGAAGAGAGGCTGGGGCTGTGCAGATGCTGGGCTCTCTTGTGATGTCTGTAGAGGAGACTCACCATGTAGATGCTGGTCCAGACCATGAGGAGCACAAACAGCGGATCTCAAATCACTATGACACTTATAAATAATTCTGGAGGGAGATGCCTTGCTTTGTTTTGACAATAGACTTGAGAATACCCAGGGCCTACATTAGTAAAATTAGTTCTGGCTACTACAGATTCAATAATGCGGATATAGACCAGCATGTTGAGGATCCAGAAGAAAAGGAAAGAGGGATAGATGCATGTAGAAAACTGAGGTTTCAGCTCATTTAGAATTACTGGGGCTGATGGTGATGGCTTGAAATGTACTCAGGAGAGAGGTTGTGCAGATGGAAAGACCCCGGGTAACTCTGCATGTATACACAACTGCTTTACAACCAACATCATTCAGAAAATGTTTCACTCCAAAGGATGACATGGCTCCTGGTGTCAACGTGAACATGATGGTCAAAACATTGACCAATACCAGATGCATGTAAATCAGATCGATGTGCTTTCTCAAGTGAGACTGGATGACAAATATGTACATATAGAACACAAAGAGCAATGAGTTTTCTGTGAAACCAATACACATTTGAGATACAAGGACAAATCGAAAAATTGTGTCACTAAGAAACATGGTCTTAATGATGTTGTATATGTTCTAATTAAGTAGACCAGTTGCCAATGATAAATAAATGGATTACATTGTTAAATTATACATAGTACAGGCTGTTAAATAATGGAATAGTCAACAGAAGTAAGGGTACAGTAGTGTCCAAATCCTCTGTATTTCTGGTCCAGGTGTGACTCTTCCAGAACTGACTTCTAGGCATCCTTGAGAACCTTTAGTGCAAAAACAGGTATTATAAAGAAGGTGGTATTCAGATGATAACAGCTATCACTACAGTGTATAATCTGGAAGGACATGCTTGCCTGAATGAAAGACAGATTTGTATTTTTTTTTAATCAATATTTTTTATTTTGATATTGTGGCGTACAGTTAAGGGTTAGGTATACAAATATGCTTCATTCAGGTCCCCTTGTTGATAACAGGTGTCTCCCTGTCCCCAGACAGATGTTTACTACCATTAGTCCCATCCCCCACCCCATAGTTTTCCACCACTGTCAGTCATTTTCTTATGGTAGTGCGTTGGATGATCAAGGTCCACTATATGAGTGAGAATATGAGATACTCAGATCTTTGCTTCTGTGTGAGGTCACTCAGTATTATAGACTCTAGCTCCATCCAGGTTGCTGCGAAATTCATGATTTTGTTCTTTTTTATGGCTGCATAGTATTCCATCATGTATATGTACCGCATTTTAAAAAATCCAGTCCTCTTTTGATGGACAGCATGGTTGGTTCCAGGTTCTTGCTATTGTGAACAATGCTGTGATAAACATTCGTGTGCAGGTATCTTTTATGTAGAGTGATTTGAGTTCTTCAGGGTATATTCCCAGTAGGGGGATTGCAGGGTCATATGGGAGGTCGATGTTTAGAGTTTTTAGGAATCGCCACACTGCTTTCCACAGAGGTTGCATTGGTTTACCCTCCCACCAACAGTGTAGGAGTGTTCCCTTTTTGCCACACCATCTCCAACAACTATTATTTTGTGAGTTATTGATAATGGCCATTCTGACTGGAGTTAGGTGGTATCTCAGTGTGGTTTTGATTTGCATCTCCCTGATGATTAGTGAGGTTGAGCATTTCTTCATGTGTCTGTTGGCTGCTCGGATGTCTTCCTTTGTGAAGTGTCTGTTCATATCTTTTGCCCATTTTATAATGGGATTGTTTGTTTTTTTTTCAGCACATTTGAGTTCCTTGTAGGTCCAGGATATTAAGCCTTTGTCAGACCTGGTGTTGGCAAATACTTTTTCCCAGTCTGTAGGCTGTCTCCCTGCTCTCTTGATGGTTTCTTTGGCTTTGCAGAAGTTGTCAGTTTAATGGGGTCCCACTTGGCTATCTTATCCCTTATGGCCTGTGGGTTTTGAATTTTGTTCAGGAATTGGATGCCAGTTCCAATTTCCATGAGGGTATGTCCTTCATTTTCTAAGGTTCTTATGGTTTGAGGTTTTACATTTAGGTATCTGATCCATTTGGAGTTAATTTTTGTGTATGGTGATAGGGGTCCTGTTCCAATCTTCTGCATGTGGTCAGCCAGTTTTCCCAGCACCATTTAATGAATAGTATCTCCTCTCCCCAGTGATAGGTGGTGGAGGCTTTGTCGAAGATGAGTTGGTTGAGAGATTGAGGTTTTGCTTCAGGGATTTCAATTCTATTCCATTGATCTATATGCCTGTTCCTGTACCAATACCAAGCTGTTTTCATGATTGTAGCTTTATTGTAAAGTTTGAAGTCTGGTAATGTGATACCACCTATTTTGTTTTTTTTTCTTCTGAGGATTGTTCTGACTATTCTTCGTCGTTTGTGTTTCCATACGAATTCCTGTGTTGTTTTTTCTAGGTCTAAGAAGAATGTTACTGGTAATTTGATAGGTATTGCATTGAATCTGTAGATTGCCTTAGGTAAGAT